ATCCACCTGCCTCAGCCTCCCAAAGTGTGGGATTACAGGCGGGAGCCACCATGCCTGACCCCCTTTTTTTTTTTTTTTTTTTAAAAAAAAAAAAAGACTGGGTTTTGTTATGTTACCCAGGCTGGGCTCAAGTGATCTTCCCACCTTGGCCTCCCAAAGTGCTGGCATTTCAGGCATGAGCCACCATCCCTGACCCATAGCACTCTTAAAGCATTGCTAATCATACATTGTTCCAGTATTTAGGCTGAAAGTTAGGGAGTTTATGTGTGGAACCACTTGAATTCATGTCAGTTCCTGGCCTGTACTGTCACTTGTTACGACTTTATTGTTATCTTTGATTTTGATTTTTACCACCTTATCAGTTAGGTATTTGATGTTTATATTGAAAAAGTACAGATCCTGAATGACTTCTCAAGGTTATAGTCACATAGCTAGTGAGAATCAAAGTGGCATTATTAATGCCTCCCACCGTTAAAAAAAAATACATGGTTATAACAAAGTATACACTTGAATAATTTGAGTTGGGGGAGATGGTTACAGCTTTCTCTCTTTTTAAATGAGGAGGTTAAAAACAAAGAACTTGAAAACCACATCCTTTCAGATTCTTTGTTGTTTCTAGGTGTAATTTGTGTAGTAATTTGTGTTTCCTGGGCTCCCTTTAATAGTGTTAGCAAATTTGGTTTGTGATTACGTTAACTCAATATTCCCCCACACCGAGTTGCCTCTTAGGATCAGAAAATTCTTTTCTAAACCCTGACCATCACTTCTATTAAATCTCAGTTCTTTCCCTGGTCGGTGTCACGCTGTGAACATAGTAATGGTTTCTGATGCCCTCTTTCCCAGAGTTTTTGTTTCTTTTTTTGTTTAAGATAAATTACCCAAGCTTCCCCGGGGGTTTTTTTGGAGACAGGATTTTGCCGTGTTGCTCAGGCTAGTCTCCTGGGATCAAGGGATCCTCCACCTCAGCCTCTAGAGTAGCTGGGATTACTGGCACTTGCCACCACTTCCGGCTCCAGAGATGCTTTTTTAAAGTCCCATATGGGACAAGAGCTTCCTTGTTAGAAGGCCTTGGGCAGTGTGAGACTCAGCCCTTAATACCCTAGTTTGTGAAATTGTAAAATTTAAAGGAGATAAAAAATAGCCCCTGTTAGGTAAATGGAGGATTTTTTTTTTTTTTTTTTTTTACTGTAAATTGTACTAGTTAACCATCCAGCAAACTGCAGATCTTGTGTTCATTGCCACAGGAGAAGAAGTAAAGGGAACTCGGGCTGGTTTATGCCAAAGTAGCTATTCTTTTATGCATTGTTGAAATAGTGGCAATAGAACATACTGTCTTTGAAGCCACGGGGGAGTGCTTTGTACAGTATAAACATTTTGCTTATTTATGTGGGGGGAAGGAGAGATTGAGACCTACATGCCAAAGGGAGTATCTAAAGTCTAGTCAGAAGATCTTTGTCTATTCCCACTTCTGAAGAAAGTTTGAAGAAATGAGATGATAAAGTAAAAGCTCAAGATTGTTTCTTTTTTATTAGAGCAAATTTTTCAGAACATAAAACAAGAATATAGTCGTTACCAGAGGTGGAGACATTTAGAAGTTGTTCTTAATCAGAGTGAAGCTTGTGCCTCGGAAAGTCAACCTCACTCCTCAGCACTCACAGCGCCTAGCTCTCCAGGTAAGCCTGCTTTAATCTGCAAAATCCACTTAAGAATTTGTAAATGGTACTTATAATGACGAATCCAGAATTGGTCTCATCTAATGTAATACAGTATTACTACTTATAGATATTTTTAAAATTCTAAAATTACGAAATTGGAAGAAACCTCAGATTGATTTGATGTGCTTCCATTCACCCGATACAAGAATATCTTCCTGTATAACTGCAATGTGTAATATGGTAGCCAGTGCATATTAGATAGCCACGTGTTGGCTATTTAATTTTAAATGATTAAAGTTAGATAAAATTTTGGCTGGACGAGGGCCGGGCTCGGTGGCCCATGCCTGTAATCCCAGCACTTTGGTGGATCACTTGAGGTCGGGAGTTGGAGACCAACATGACCAACATGGAAAAACTATAGTTAGCTGGGCATGGTGGCACATGTCTATAATCCCAGCTACTCAGGAGGCTGAGGCTGAGGCTGGAGGATTGCTGGAACCCGGGAGGCAGAGGTTGTGGTGATTCAAGATTGAGCCGTTGCACTCCAGCCTGGGCTACAAGAGTGAAATTCCTTCTCAAAAAACAAAAAAAAATTTTTTTGGCCAGTTTCGATGGCTCATGCCTGTAATCCTAGCACTTTGGGAGACTGAGGTGGGCGGATCACCTGAGGTCAAGAGTTTGAGACCAGCCTGGCCAACGTGTCAAAAGCTGGTCTCTACTACAAATACAAAAAAATTAGGCATGTTGGTGCGCACCTGTAATCCCAGCTACTTGGGAGGCTGAGGTTGTAGTGAGCCGAGATCACGCCATTGCACTCCAGCCTAGGTGACAGAGTGAGTCACCATCTCAAAAAACAAAATATTTATTTTCTTTTTTTCGAGATGATGCGCCACCATGCCCGGCTAATTTTGTATTTTTAGCAGAGACGGGTTTTCACCATGTTGGTCAGGCTGGTTTCAAACTCCTGACCCCAGATAATTCACCCACCTCGGCCTCCCAAAGTGCTGGGATTACAGGTGTGAGCCACTGCACCCAACTTAATTAGTATTCTTTAAGCTCTGGGATACATGTGCAGAACATGCAGATTTGTTACATAGGTATACACGTGCCTTGGTGGTTTGCTGCGCCCATCAACCTGTCATCTACATTAGGTACTTCTAATGCTGTCCCTTCTCTAACCCCTCAACCCCTAACCCCCCAAACTCACTTTTTCCTTTTTTTGAGATGAAGTCTCTGTCACCCAGGCTGGGGTGTAGTGGTACCATTTCAGCCCACTGAAACCTCTGCCTCCCAGGTTCAAGTGATTCTCTTCCTCAGCCTCATGAGTAGCTGGGACTACAGGGCTGTGCCACCACACCCAGCTAATTTTTGTAGTTTTGGTAGAGACGGAGTTTCACCATGTTGGCCAGGCTGGTCTTGATCTCTTGACCTCGTGATCAACCTGGCCTCCCAAAGTGCTGGGATTGCAAGCGTGACCCACCACACCCAGCCCCAACTCGATATTTCTTTTGGCCAGGTTCCTCATGGATGAAGAAGGACCAGCCCACCTTTACCCTCCGACAAGTTGGAATAATATGTGAGCGTCTCTTAAAAGACTATGAAGATAAGATTCGGGAGGAATATGAGCAAATCCTCAATACCAAACTAGCAGGTAGGCCGAGGCAGTAAATATGCCATTGTCATTAACAGGGTTCAGTTAAGAATTAATACCAGTTAAATAACTTACAGAATAGGACTTCATGCAAGGGGGTTTATTGAGTTTCGGGTATTGAAGTTACTTTGGTGATTGTAAACACATCATGTATACATTATATGGAAGGACTTTGGTTTTTGTTTGTTTGTTTGTTTTTGTTTTTTTTAATTGGCTTCAAGTTCCAAGGTCTTTGTTTTTTAAATAGAGGCAAGGTTTTGCTGTGGGCCCAGGCTGGTCTCTAGCTCAGGGCTTCAAGAAATCCCCCACCACAGCTTCCCAAAATGCTGGGATTACTGGAGTGTTACACCTTCCCCAGTGGGAAGGATTTTTCATTTGCATTTCTAAAAGGAAAGAAACCAAGCCTCTGCAAGAATTTTCCCTATCAATAAAGGCATTTAGTAGGCCATTTGGGCTAGCTGGCTGGTAAACAGGTGGTTGTGATACTGTATTAAACTCCCAACAGGTGTTATGGAAGAGTGCAGCATTGTCAACATAATCAAATTTCCTAGTGGAAGTCGTAGTTACGGATGTGGAAAGTCGAGCATCCTATGATTTGAGAGGAACAGTAGAGTAAAAGCAAGGCTAGGCAGGCCTTGTTTTACAAAAGTAGTGATCAATGATGGCAACAATTAAAGCCTTTTGTGAAAGGAAGAGATCTGAATCAGGAGTAAAAAATAGTACCTGTTTAGTGAAAGTGGATAATGTTCCACATTAAACCACAGTACTGTATCTCAAGCACCAACCTTATCATACTCCTTTTCTGATTAAAGTCCTCCGCCGAACTCTGGGATATAGGTCAAGATCTGTTGCTTAGGATGACAGTGTGAGTAATTAAGACATGTATAGGCAACTTTCATGCTTTGCTGCTGTGTAATCATGAGGGAGAGTGAAGAAGCACAACTTTTTCCTGTAACAGCATTGTTTCCTAATCTGGTGACCCATAAAACGTGGTTCCTTGGAATTTTAATAGGTCTGCTTTAGATTGGGAGCTGTTGAGTTAAGCAAAGTTAAATGGGTTCCTCTATAGTAGAACTACTTTGATCCTTTAATATAACATATATTATAAGAAGCAGCTCTAATATATCATTCCCTCTCCCACTCCCACCTTAATACTGTTTCAGTCAGCTGGTTCTGAGTCACTTCTCTGTTCACAGATGTCAGGCTGCCTTCTTTTCTACTCAGTTTCTCCTTACGAGGTGGTACTTCCGTGGAACTGTTTACAGTTATATGGTATAGATTTTCTCTTAGATTTCTGACCATCCCACACTTATTCCACTCACGTTTTTCACTCAGTGAGTGTTGAAATTTATAGCAAGGAAAGAGTTTCAAAGATTCATGTCTCATAGGAGATGGGCCGAAATTTGCTGGCTGTGGTAGTAAGCATAACTCTCTGTCTTGGGAGGCTATTAGGGGATGGAGTTATGTCACGGGGAGAGGTTATCAGGAAAATACTGTTATACACCATCAGTGACCAATTCTAGAAGCCAGGGATTTGGCTCTGGGTTCGAAGAGGAAGGATCAGATCTCAGTGACCTTTTTAAGGCGGGCCTGAGAGGGTGGAGAATTCAAACTGGGAAGCTATTTGTAGATCCTGACACTTGATTCTTGAAAAATTGAGAGTTGCTGAGGATAAGTATGTACTGTCTTCTCACAGAACAATATGAATCTTTTGTGAAATTCACACATGATCAGATTATGCGACGGTATGGGACAAGGCCAACAAGCTGTAAGTATTGCCACATTTTCTTTGAATTTTCCAAGTTTCAAGAGCAAAATTTCTACACTGAATCTCTCCTGAGAGTAAAAAGCCCCTGTGAAGTAAAATGTGCCTGCCTCTGTGCTAAGCCTATTAAATCCACACCAAAGCTTATCCTCACAGTGACTCTATGAGGGAGTACTACTGTTAGCCCCATTTTCTGGGTAAAGATAGCACTTAAAGAAGTTAATTTGTCCAAGTTTATATAGCTAGTGGTTCGGCCAGGATTAAAATCTAGGTAGTCTGACTCAAGTACCAATTGGTTACCAGAAAGATAGTTTCAGTTGTTAATTTATGAAAATTGATTCCTTAAGTTAGTTTATCAAGTGTGGTCAGTAGTTCTTTTTGATTTTTGTGGGGAGAGGTGGTGGTGTGTTTGTTTGTTTGTTTTTGTTTTTTTGTTTTTTTCTGAGACAAAGTCTCTGTTGCCCAGGCTGGAGTGCAGTGGCACTCACTGCAACCTCCACGTCCTGGGTTCAAGTGATTCTCCTGCCTCAGCCTCCTGAGTGGGTGGGATTACAGGGGCCCACCACTATGCCCAGCTAATTCTTTGTATTTTTAGTAGCAACAGGGTTTCACCATGTTGATCAGGCTGTTCTCGAACTCCTGACCTTATGGTTCACCCACCCCGGCCTCCCAAAGTGCTAGGATTATGGCATGAGCCACCACGCCCAGCCACAAGACATTTCATTCTAAATATCTTGCAACTACCAGATATTCAAAACATAAAATATAAACAGCTGTATATCTAACTGAATTTGAGTCAGGTTCCTTCAATTCTTGATCTTTAGTGTCTTTTAAGTGGTGACTCATTGTTCATGCTATTTATCACATTTACTATTAGTGAAAATTTTTAAAGCATGACACTACATTTTTTAGTATTCTTACCTTTGTTTTTTATTCCTAATTTACAGATGTGTCCTGAAGCTTTGTCACATATCTGGGTACCAGGTTTGACCTCAAAAGATGGCTGCTGTACACTTTTTGCAACTGGTTTGATATCACATTTCAGCTCCAACTTTGCATCCTGAGAACACTTAAATGTTTCTGCGGGTCCATTTTATACAACTTGAAAGACCATAAAACTTTCTGGTTGCCACAAGCATATCTTTCTTTTCTGCTCATCCAATAAACAGCTGTGCCCTACTGTGATAGATGTTCCAAACAAAAATACTTGGAGCAGCAGTTTAGCAAAATATGCCTTCAGTGGCACTCAACAAATGGAGTTTCCCCAAGCACAGTTCTGTAAGAAGTGTGTGTGAGAGTGTGTGTATATGTGTGTATGTGTATTTTAAGTTATTATTTGTATTGTGCAAAAACTTTTTTTGATCTTGGGGATTCTGGCTGTGAATTTGATGCACGACAATTATGGTAAAAAAACATTTGCTTGGTCTACAGAAGATCATTAATGTTTTGTGACCATATAAGTTGTAACAGTGGATTGTTTTTATGTGTAGGTATTATTGTTAAATACAGGGACTGTTTTCACGCACAAAATATGAATCACAGCTATGATTATGATAATAGAGCAAAGGACATTAGCTGTGATTATGATAATACTGCAAAGGTCTGCTGTCCTAGACCTACAAATGTGTGGTGAGAAATCAGAACAAACTGGAGATGGGCCATTGACACATGGACTCTGCCTA